ATATATATATATATACACACACACACACACACACACACATAAAGTAATATACACATCCTGATAAAAATACATTTCTAAAATAATATAAAGAGTTATAACATTTTTCGTTACAATATTTTTCTTTTTTTCTTTCTTTTTTTATTGATCATAATTAAAACATAGCTAGGCTTTTCTGTTCGTCCGTTTCAAATATCATACGGTATGACGAGCGCAATAAATTGCGATATTGGATCTCTTACGCCACTGCGATACGTATCGGCAGGAATTGTGGTAGAGCGTTCGGGGATTAGCGTATACTAACATATGAAAAAAAAAACCGGTACATATGTACTCGTTCGTCCGGCTAAAACCGGTCAGTGGATACGCGTCTCTTCTCGCGTGCTTCTTCGCGTCCTTGTTCCGTTATTTAAGCGAATCTTGCGCGGTATCTGCCTTTAGACCGGGTCAACGCGATACTCTGTTTCATCTCGTTCTCGTCCGCGAACTTGCCATGACGGTGCACGTCGAAGATGGAGAAGGATCCGATTTAGTGGCGCAGGAGATGCCGCTCATGCAGCAAGACGTCGTGCCGTCGCGAAATGGTTTGAAATTGAACAATACTGGTTCCTGGTCAAGATCGTACGAGGAGTTTATCTCAACTTGGACATTATGGGGTGTTCGTAAATCGCGTAAATCCGGTGAGTGTTGACAAACCGTAACGGTTACGCGATTGTCAATAGTCATCGTCTTCGTCAGTATTTATTTCAACAAAGAGACACAAAAACGACGAATGTATTCCTTCTATCTTGAATCCTTCCACTGTTTTTTAAACCAAGACTTTTACAAAAAAATAATTAAATTTTACAAATTTCACGTAAAAATGATTTAAATAATTAATAAAAACTATGATTAATAAATACTATGATTAATCTTAAATCATAATATTTACATTTTTATTAATTTTTTATGAATTAGTGGATATATATATATATACGAAATATTTGTAAACATAATAAATAAAGTGTATAAAGTGTATAATTATTTACATGTAGAAATATTTCATTTATTATCTACAGTGATTCACAATTACAAAATTAAAACGAGATATTTATATTAGAATTATTTAAAATTATCATACGTAAAATTTGAAAACTTATATGTACATATGTTATTGATGCATAAAAGTGATACTTGAGTTCTCAAGAAAGCTTCATTGTTTAAAAAAAAGTAGTTATAAAAAATATGAATAAAAAATGTAATAACAAAATAAAGATATAAAATGAATAATATGGAATTCCTGAGTGTGTGTGTGTGTGTGTGTGTATGTGTGTGTGTGTATGTGTGTGTGTGTGTGTGTGTGTGTGTGTGTGTGTGTGTGTCTCTCTCTCATTAGTTTTGACAATTGTCTGATAAATTTGAACTTATCAAACAATTAAAACGTTTTTAAAATAAATTTAAAATAAACTTAGCCTGATCATACAAATTTTACAAAATTCCATAAAATTTGCACACACCAAATTTCGCGAGTTAGTTCATGAGCCATAAAGATATTTCAGGTTAACGACATTAAGTCATACATGTCGGCGCTATCGTGGCGTGAGTTTACAAGTTCGATTATGCTTGTGAACAGTTCGCGATTTGTGCTTTATATGACCGCTATCATTGCGACTCGGGTCGGATTTATCGGACTGGCGTCCGATAGGAGATTTTATGGACGTTATCCGTGGCGATAAAAGTCATAGAATAATGAACGTTTGTCATCCTCGGACTGAGCTGACATGACTATGTTACAGGCAACGAGATGAATTACAAGGGCAGCGGGAAGGTCCACTTCGGGGTGGACGACGTGTCCCTCTATGGGACGCCGAAGGAGGAACCGGGCCCGGGCCTCCCGGGCCAGGAGGTCAAGCAGAGCTTCCTGAAGAATCAACTTCAGGCCCTGTTCCAGCCAACGGACAACAAGTTGGCCATGAAGCTCTTTGGCAGCAAGAAGGCGCTTATGAAGGAACGGATCAGACAAAAAGCCGCAGGTCACTGGGTCATCCATCCTTGCTCCAGTTTTCGGTATGTCCTTCGAATATCAACTGATTTCATTCAACAGGCCGCATCAATATTTTGCACTATCACATTTCGTTCCGGCTGAAAAACACGTTCTGCCAAGAAATACCGGCCTCAGATGCAGCTTAATATCTAAATCTGCTCGAATAAACTCGCGTACGATACATCGTCCTGCATTCTCTATAAAAAGGAACAAAATTCTACATACACTTGTCCCTTATAAAGTTGATATAAAGTTTGCGTTTAGAAATAACTAGACATATTACCTTATTAAATTATTTATATCTGCCACGATGATAACAGCACGATGATTCGTGATATTTTATAATAATTAGATATGGTATAATACAAATTCATTCCTACAATATTATAATTTTCATTCTTTTTCGTAAAAATAAAAAATGTAAAAATTTTTTTTCCAACACTTCGTAACTTACATCAATCATGAAATGTTCTTTACGAGATTGATTACCTTTTAGACATTTTAAAAAAGGAAATGAAAAATTACTTCTCTTTGCAAAACTTGCTTTTAAATTAATGTAAAAAATTATTTATTGTTGTTGTGTCAGTCAAATTTTAAATTACGATTAGTTTTAAGATATGATTTTTAATTCTAACTTAAATCACTATTCTTAGATGTAGACTTCATAAAGAATATTATTCGAATATGAATATATCACGTATATGTTGCATACTAGTGAAAGTAATAAATGACAAAAGTCGCTGAGCGAGCGAGCGTAAATCAACTCGTGTCGGCTTACTCGCAATCCGAAACTTTTCGGCCTGACTACGATCCGGGATACGAGAAACGTAAACTAGCCTTTGTGCCGCAGTAAAATATCTGCCGTATCCGGATCGTTCATCGTGTAGGCTTTCCGAGCCATCCGAATGAGGCGCACGTCTCCGATCTCGAGGACCAAAAAAGAATGCGTTTGATCTATGGGCTAACATGCGTTACTTGTGACTTCAATCGATCTGGGTCGCGCAGAATATTCAATGGCTTTACAAGAGTCACGGATTTAGTTACATGCTCGTGTATATATAGTTGAGCAGTCGACCTCGCCTAGTCACGAAATAGCATTGAGACTTTACGGCCTCAGGAAGAAGCTTCCGTCAGGCCTTTCGCTTCCTTCCGGAATCGCTTTATCGATGACGAGCCACAATCCTTCGCTGAAGTCAGGACGCATGCTATCGACTTCTCGCGGAGAATGTTGACACCCTCGCCGAGCCATTTACGGACAAATGCATCGATTAGAATGACAATAAGCGTTCAAGAATGCTTGTCTATCGAACGATAATGGATAGATGATCTTCAATTAATGGTAATTCCTTGCAGAATTAACCATTATAATCAATATTAGTTGATCAATATTAGTTAAAAAAAAAAGGATTATAAGAGCATGAAGTGTATTTCAGAAGAATCTGTAGCAAAATCTTAGCAAAATCCTAAATACACCTAAATAACATGGAATTCATAATATAAAATCGAAAAAAGAAAGTATAGTAAAAGTTCAAAAAAAACTCTGCAACTAATTATGTTATGAAAAATTGGTTTGCCGATAAAATGAATTAATTTTCACATATAATGTGGTTTATATAATGTGATGAACAAGAGACACAAGATTCAATAATAGGTAATTTTTGAGTGGTGCATCAAAGGTATAAAAGTTGTGCTCACAGAACACTTTTAATAATTCAAAAACTATCCATTATTGAGTTTATGACAGTGAAATTTAATTTTCCATGTATTGTAATTAATGTACGGTTTTTTATTCTCGATTCATTAAAAATAATTTATAAGTTTTAATACTTAAAAGTTAATAGAATATAGCTTTTTTTCAGATTAACTTTTGATGATTTACGAAAGAATTGTTACAGTTCAATTTTTTTTCCTATTCGATGTTTCCATTACTTGTGCGAGTTTTTTTTTTTCGATGCGAAAAAAACTGTTTTGCGTAGCGGAAGAAATCAACGGAACAAATTCGCGCGGCTGAAAACGAGCGAATGGTGCCTCGTTACAATATCAAATTGCCAATATTAACTGTGCATGGCGCAGCGTGCACAGTTCCATAACGCGCGAAACACTATACTGGCCACGACTCTACAGCGGTGACGGCGGCGGCGTTTGTCGTTCCAATTGGTTGAAATTGCCTGGCGCTTCCGTTCAGAATCTTGGCTAATTACCGGCAGCATGGAGGATTCTCCGTAACCTTCTCTACGATTCCACTAAAACGCGAGACTCTCGTGGGCATTGAAACTTTAATTCGTTCCTCCGTTAATGGTTGCGATATCTTCCGGCAGAATGAGCGTAACTAACGGTCGTTCTTTACGCGACATGTAATGCTAATATCCAGTTGCTAAATTATACAAATGAGCGTCAATGGTGCTCCATTTTCCAATCGTTGTCATATAAATCAAATATCCATATAATAAAAGTCATATAAGCTCTCGCGTCTGATATGTTTTATTTGAATAACGTAACACAGCGAGGGACGTGCCCTCGAATTAATAGATATATTATTTAAACACGCAAGCATCATCAAATCCTTTTTCTCTTCAGGGAATAATGATAATAATTTTAATAGATTCATATTATATTAATACAATATTACACAGTGCATGTGTTTTTATTTATTTCACTTTATCTTATGTGTATAAGTTATTTCTTTTCCAAGCAGTCTTACGAAAAAAATATTAGTCTTTTTAATCAAAAATTTCTTAAACATCTTTTCAATATTCAGTTTTGTTTTTCTAATGCTTTTCCATTGTTTGCAACTTTTTTATTAATAAACATATGTACATACATTTTCTTACATTTATTTTTTATCTGGCATTTTTTATAATATGTTCATTTTTATTAAAGTTATAAGCAATTGAATTGGATGATATGATTGAGGCATACCGCAATGCGTTGTTCTCGTAGGATTTGGCATTTAAAATTTAATATACTAAAAAAAATAAAAAAGTAAATACCACCGAAATATTCGCAAACATTACGGAAATACATACACGGAAAATCAAAGCGATGTCGCGATTTTGAGGGGACACGTGCGTAAATGAATGTGCTCTTTGATCTATTGATCAAAATATAAATGATAGCCGAAATACCCGATAACACGTGTCGTATAGTTGGCTGGTAATGTCGCTCCGTCAGCAGTTCATTATCCGAACATCCCGAACATGCATGCCTCTACAGGAGATATCATGTTAATGGAGAGATTGAGTTTAATGGATTCAAGAGATTGAGCAATTACAGAGGATCCTAGACCCGACATCGATGCGAATTTCGATACGATAGTTGACTTTCGATGCTTAATATTTAAATCGCTTAAGCAAATTCTAGATTAAAGACGATGTAATGATAATAATTTGTAAGATCATTACACTCTTAAATCAAGGATACTGGAAAATGAAACTAAATGAACTAAGTGATAGCAAGACATAAATGAATGCTAAAATTACCGAATGCATCCAAATTATTCAGATAGTTCCGAAAGTATATATGTAGATAGCGAGACCATGTCTTCCGGATAGTCTCACTGGATTTCAGCTGAAGCGAAACTTTATTGGAAGCTTAGTACCGGAGATACTCTGTGCGGAATATTAAAAATTTACAATGAACAATGCTGACAATATCATTTCCTTCGGTTTAATATGCGGCCACTAAATCGCTGTCCTTCGTTTACATACGTTGCATGAATTCGTAATTCGTCGAGTTCAATTCGCCTCGCGCGGTACGTGACATTCATGACGACACCATGCATATGACAATATCTCGCGAAAACGTTGTAGAATTAAAAGAAAATATTTTTACGCGTACAGTCTGAAAAAAAGAGGAGGAAATTCTTATTTTTCTATAAGCCACAGGAAATAAAATGTGCAATTGTTTTTGCCATAAAAGTTTCTCTCATCATGTTTGCGGTTGCACATATTTGTCTGTTCTACGTCGGTTGGAATTGCTGCGTTGAATAACTTGATAGGATTCGGTCGCGAGAACACGTTCTCTTTCACCTAAAGGGAGAGACTTATAAATGTGAGACGTTATAAAAGCGAATATAAACCATACTACTTAACTCCGGACAGCACATTAAATTAAATACATTCTTTTTTCCTCGTTTCGTGTTAAATTGTATAAAAAGTCGCATCTCCGGTGAAAACGACTTTCTTCGTGCTTAATTTATTTCATTGATAATATTAAGATATGTAGACTGAGCTCTCGAGCGAATGATTTATCGCGCATCGGTATCGAATATTCGGCCGTTCCACATTTAATGGTTTCTGCTTTCGAATTCGTGAGAGAAAATTTTACTTTATGAAATGCAATTTCCTGGTACTGTAAAATTTCCCTTGTAATTTTTAGCACACGCTCAGATCTCTTTTTACACTATTTTATGTATCAGTAAAGTATTTCGCTATGTACATATTTATCTGAATCTATTCACGTATTTCTTTAAAAATAATAAAATAAAAAAACGCACTTAAACGATAATTGTTCAAAATTGTCGGCAGACAAGTCTGTCTTTGACATTGCAGAGCTAAATATCAGATTTAAACAAAGGTATGAGAAAATATAATAAAACCCGAATTATTTCTTTTGTGTTTCGAAGTGAAATGCATTTATGCACTGCAACGTCGTAAAAGAAAGAAGATAACATTTTTGATGTCTGAATAATCAAAAGTAACAATGCGGAAAAATCCTTAGTGCAACTCGCATTTGTGTTCTACGCAATTTCGCTTTGACGTAAAAGAAAATAATTGCACTTGCCTAAGAAATAACATATTTAGTGACAACGATTATTATTATCTAAATAATTATCGTATCATTATGGTGCATATTGGCTAACATATAATCACCTATTGCTGCGCAATGATCCATTCTAGGCCATGTCCTGACATATACATTGTCAGTACTGAAATTCTATAATATACGTAACATAAAGATATTTGCAGTACAGAGTGTATACGGAACACAGTTCTATTGTTTCGATTAACGTGAACTATTCGAG